ACCTTGAGAACTCACAATAGTTCACTGACTGCCCACCCACGGCCCTCCTTCCAGTTTTCTGTCTGCCACCTGCCTCCTCGGGGATGAGGTCACACCACGCTCCTGCACTGGCCCCACTCCGGCCCACAGGGCCAGCGCACCTCCCTGGCTGAGGTCACTGCACAGGGGCAGAAAGCATTTTCAGTCACATGGTACACCCATTCAGAATCTCCCCCACAAAGCACTCCTTATTAGGAAAAGCTGCACCCCAGTCCTCCACTTTGTTCCTCTTGGGGTACTTGGACTGGTGGCAGCATGCATGATACTCCAGGAATCCCAGGTATGCAAGACCCCTGGAGGCTTGTGGACCACGGCTGGCAGACCATGCATGGTTCCCCTCCAACAGTCAGCGGGCGTTTCTCCCCGCAGGCCCCCTGCCCCCACAGTGTGCTTCCTGACTTCACCCTCCTCTGGAGACACTCCTACGTCCAAGGCCCAAGGATCAGGGCTTCCTGTTCCAGGGCACAGTTGCAGAACACAGCTGGGCATACTGACCAGAGAAACTCATCCACGCTAGTTCAACAGGGCCTGGGAGGCATGGGTAGGGAGGAGCCCTGGCCGGGGCTGTTTTCATGCTACTTTCCATTTGCATAACCTCAAGCAATTCCATTGCAACTCAACAAACTTCCATCTCTGCCTGTCTTGACAAGCATCATCGGTGCTCCCATAGGGCATAGCCTTGGCCTCTTCCAAGATAGAGAAAGCAAAGATAAAACTCCATTTTCCTTAATAAATGACTCCAAGATCTCGGTGGTTGGAAATAGAAGGGGACCACCCATGTGGGAAAGGAGCAGGCCGGTGGCATGACTTTGTTTCCCTACTCCCTCGGAATTCTTGTGAGTCATCAGCAGTGCTGCCAGGAAGACTGGGGAGAGGAGCCTCTGAAGGCCCCCTCAGCACTGGGACCAGCTGTTACCCACACCCTTCCCTCAAGGTCCCTTTGCCCTGGCTGAGGCTGTAGACAGGACTCTCCAGAAGGCCTAGAGGGCACAACTATTAATCAGGCTACCTCTGCAGTTTGTGCTGTTACCAGATTCTGACAGTAAATGGCCATCTGAACTCACTGGATTGGGGAATTGAAGGTTTTCAGCAAGATTCCTAGGTCATTCTTACCATTATGAAAGTTTGGGAGACACTGCAGGGCCTGTCCCCACCCAGCAAAGACCCCACCCAAGTGCTCAGTGTGCCCCAAGGGCAGCTCCTTGAAGATCCAAGGAACCACCCATTTTCTCTGCTGATGTCTAAGGCTGCATTCTGAGGTCTAGTTCCGGTAGCCTGTTCCACTCCTTTCCTGAGACCTACCCTGGGATGATAACCCCCTTCAGATGAGTAGACACATCGCCTCAATCCTCAAAACGACACCCCTGATAGTGGCCCAACAGTCATACCCACGTGAGGATTCAGGGAGCCGTCATGGCTTCCTGCCCTACCCCACTCTCAGGCGAAAATCTCAGGTAGAAATTGGATGAATGTCTGCTTGCCTTTCCCCTGGGCTCTCATCCTCCAAACTGCTGCTTGCCTTGATCTGCCCTATTCCTCCTTCACTTTTATGTTGATGAAGAAATACCAAAGAGAACTTACTAGGGAGAATTTGTTTTACCTCAGTAGAGTTGTCTGGTCAGGTTAGTTCTCTTAACTGATCCCAGAGGAGGACAAAGAATTGACGTGAATTCTACAGTGTCTAGAGGTAGCATGGTGGTACTTTGCACCATAGGTAGGTCATCCCACTTGAATTTGCAGACCACATTCCTATTTTATGTAAGGTGGGGACATCAGATTTCCCAACGCCATAAGAAGAAAATCTGGAGTAAGATTTGAATATTGGTCAACTTTTCATTACTATAATGAAATACCTGAGGCAGGCTGACTTGTAAGGAAAAGAGATTTATTTAGCTCATAGTTTTGGAGGCTGGAAGTCCAACCAGCATGGCATAAGCTCTGGCAAGATTCCCCTCCCCACCGCTGGATCGCATCAGGCAGGAGCAGGTACCTGTGTGTGTGTGTGTCTCTCTGTGTATCTATGTATCTGGTCTCTATCTTCTTATAAAGCCACTGGGATTCTATCACGGGAGTCCACCCTACTGGCCTTATTAAACCTAATCCCTTTCCAAAGGTCCCACCTCTAACCACCTCTAATCTATAGTAGGATTAGTTTCTAGCCACTTAATATCATTAACACATGACTTTGGGGATTAAACTCCTGCATGAGTTTAGAAGGACAAACCCATAACAATCTGTAAGATTTCCTGTGCCGATGATAATGTTTGGTGTTCAAAAACAAGCATCTCACATGAAAAGATATTCAATACCATTAGTCATTAAGAAAATGTAAATTAAAACCTCAATGAAGCCCAGCGCAGTGGCACATGCCTGTAATCCCAGCGGCTCAGGAGGCTGAGGTAGGAGGATCACAAGTTCAAAGCCAGCCTCAGCAAAAGCGAGGCACTAAGCAACTCAGTGAGACCCCGTCTCTAAATAAAACACAAAATAGGGCTGGGGATGTGTCTCAGTGATAGAATGCCCCTGAGTTCAATCGCTGGTACCCCTCCTCCCCCCAAAAAAAGAAGCTCAGTGAAATACTATCTCAAATAAGAAAAATGTGTTCATAAGGATTAGAAAAACTAGAGGGGCTGGGGCTGGGGCTCAGTGGTGGAGCGCTTGCCTAGCATGTGTGAGGCACCGGGTTCGATCCTCAGCACCACATAAAATAAACAAAATAAAATAAAGGTATTCTGTCCATCTACAACTCTTAAAAAAAAGAAAAAGAAAAACTGGAATTCTCATACATTGCTGGTAGGAATGTAAAAGGGTGTACCACTGTGGAAAACCCTTTAGGGGTTCCTCAAAAACTACATACAAAGTTGGCAAATAACCCAGCAATTCCATTGCTAAGTACATACCCTCCAAAGAATTGGAAATAGGCACTCCAACAATACTTGCACACAAATGCTCACACCTGCACTATTCACAATGGCCAAAATGTAGACACAACCCAGATGTCCATCAATGGATGAATGGATGTACAAATTGTTGTATATACATACCATGGAATATCACTTGGCCATGAAAAGGAACAGAGTACTGATGTGTGCTACAACATGGAACAACCTTGAAAACATGTTACAATATGTCACATATTGTAAGAGTCCACTGATGTAAAATATCCAGAGGCTGGAGGTAGGGTGTGAAAGGGGAGAAGGCGGACTGACTGACCAGCTTGGAGGGTTTTTTTAGGGTGGATAAAAATGTTTTGGATTAGGGGAGGTGGCAGTTCCACAACATCATGAATGTACTAAATGTGCACGCACACAGGGAGTGAGGATACAATGGTCAATTTTGTTTTGCAAGTTTTACCTCAATATTAAAAGGAAAGTTAACACATCTGCAAGTGGGTTCTCAGAAGCTGTCAGCCTCCACCAGAACCTTGGTGAGCAAAGACCACATCTCCTGGGATGGCATGCATCACCCAGCTGTGCCACGTGTGGTTTCAGTACAGTAAACATCTGCACACCCCAGGCCCCTTTCACTGCTGGGAAGTTCATGGACTCTGGCTTCAGGCCTCCCTTTGCTGAATAGCACAACCCGCTAAGGGAGGCAGATGGACTTCTCTAACCAGAAGGTCAAATTTATTCCTACGCATTTCTAACTGCTTGAGTTTATTGTCATGTAAAATGCCCTTAATTTTGAGCAATTATAAAGACTCTTGATTATTTAAGAAAGCTCATAAATGTTTAAAAGTAACTCTACCTAGAAGTTTCAGCTTGGTCGTTTTAAACAAATAACAGCAGAAGGAAGTGGTTCTAATCCACTGTTTGTTCTAATTTTAAAATGTGAATAATTAACCTTCCAGCAGCAAGAAAAAAAAAAAGCAAAGTTTAAGAGCAGTTCAATCCAATAAATGTCCAATTTAAAAATAGATTAGGACTGCTGGTGCAGAAGGCCATCCTGATTTATTGCTGTGGCAATTTACATGAAACTAGTCATTACTTCAGTTAAACTGGGATAGCATTGATGCCTTGAACTCTGTTCTCAGGCACTTATGTGCTGGATCATGCTACCTTGTGGGAATTATGGATTGTGGAAAATCCCTGAAAAGTTGATATTTTTGCTACATCCAATTTTACTACCCCCCCCCCAAAAAAAAAGGTTAAATTATTACAGATTTCTTATTCTACAAATCAGTTTCTCTCGGGTAGAAATACTGAGTCATTAATTCTTAAGGACTGTATCTAGAATTAAATAAATACACATCCCCATACCCACCTCTGTTTTTAAAAAGTCTTGTTTAGCAGTGTCCTTATAATAGAAGCCTATGGTTCGGACCATTTTGTACCAGGATATCACTATGGAGAAAGCCAAATCCTTTCTGGAACCCTCGAGGAAACTAGTTGCCAAACTACCCCAAGTAGAAGAAATTTCACTGTTGGAAACTCCAGGGTATCAATGTGCTTATGACCGCCCTGTGTAAAGTCTCTCTAAAGAAAGGAGGCATGAAAAGAGGGGGAAGGAGAAAGAGGAGCAGGAGAGGCAAGGGAGAAGGAGGAGAAGAAATTAGGAGAGTCATTTTGTTTCTCGGTTCCAGAAGCAAGTAATGCTGGAGACCCTGTGGAGCAAGCTAAACATTAACAACTGCCTCTGGTTGGTCTTTGGCAACAGGAGCAGTGGTAGGAGCCTGGCTTTCAGAAGCCAGCAAGATGGGTTCAAAGCCTGACCTCACCATTTAAAAGCTGTGTGATCCTGAAGAAATTCGTTACCCTCTCTAAGCCCTTCTTTATCCACCAATAAAAATAATCGCACCTGTCTCCCAGAGTTGTCCATCTAAATGAGAAAACCGTCTCAAGTGCCTGGCGGGAGGGCACTACACCTCTTCTGCTGCCTGAAGCACCAACAATTAGAATTTAACCTGGAAGCTGATTACTCCTGTTGATGTTATATCAGGAAAATGAGGACACAGTCAATGCTATTGTCTTTTTTTGTTTTTTTATTTAAAAAAAACAAATTAAATAAAATAATGATTCATTATATATAAAACCGCACTGAGTTCACGGTGGGGAAGACTCTGAAGATGGAGACAAGGATGCGTTTGGGGCGTGTTCTTTTTCTTCATATCTAGGAGGCGGTTCCGATGAAGGATGAGGAGTGTGGGAGAAGTCGGAGCGGGCAGGCGGCCCAGAGATGGTGTACACGAACTCTCGTGGTCTCTCGGGGGCCGGGCCCTGGCTCTCAGGAGCTGGGGTTCTGCTGAGAAGAAAGAGACCATGTTGCTAAAACAGCAACACCCTTAAGTACTAGGTTCCTGTCGATGTTTCATGACATGCATTTGGCAGTAGCGACAGGGGTCTAAGGAGTCATTTCTCCCACATCTACTTTTTATAGATCTGTTTGGATTCCTCAACCCCTCACTTTTCTTAGAACTGTCTATAACATTCAGACAGCCCCCTTCCTCCTGCCATCCTCCTTGTCACAGAAGAGGCCCTGAAGAGAAAGGCAGAGGTACCATCTGCAGGGTTGGGGGTATGGATCCTCTGAGTCACTGTCCTTTGGTATTTTGTCGTGGGAGCCAGTAGTCAAACTTATGCACATAGAAAATTATAAATGAAGCCATAGACTTGAAGGGAATCAGAGAGGCATACTGGTTAATGGACCTGGGCTGGAATCCCACTCCGATATGTTCTGGTTATTTAACCCTATCTGTAAATTGGGGTTGATATTGGTGCCTTCTTCCCAGGGTGGTTGTGAGAATCACATGAAGTAATGCAAGAAAATCCAGACCCTGGGACTCAAGACATTACAGCAGCGGCAGTGGCTTAGTATTAATATTTTATTTATCTTTTTTTTTTTCTGCCAGTGCTGGGGATGGAGCCCAGGACCTAGTGCCTGCTAGGCAAGCACTCTATCACTGAGCCATATCCCCAGCCCAGTAGTGGTTTCCTTTAAGTCTCTAAATACTGATTTTATGGTTTTGGAAAGTTTGTCACTGAAGGAAAAAAAAATGCAAATTTCATTATTAGTACTGTCTAACTGGCCAGTCCTAACCTGCCTTTCTCCATGCAGGGCAACTCCTGCATTCACCTCCCAGTCCCGGCTCACCACCTGTGAAGCTCCAAGGCTTCCTCCCAGATCCTGACCAGTCACCTCATTCCCTTTCTCATCAGATAGCCTGCCCCCTTCTTTTGTGAAACAAAGGATCTCCACAAAACCTAGCTCTCTCCAGGACCTGGAGGCAAGGCGGATGTCCACTGGCTGTCCTCTCCAGGGCCACACACCTGGGTCTGCTCTATCTGGGTGGTGGGGTCTGGGAGCTGTTCACTTCCCAGGATGCACCGTCAAGGCAAGGAGGTAGAACACTGCCTTAAACATAATGAGAAGGCAGGGCAGCACCTGTCCCCAGCCGTGGTCACCAGGTCCTTTGACTCTTGCTCCTCCACCCGCTCAAAAATGTACATCATCTCATTCTCCTGACCACAGATCTCTGAGTCCTGCCCCAGCCTTTCACTTGGCTTGGACATTTCCAGCAACCCTTCCTCCTTTCCTGCTCCCTGACCTCCCCTTTGGACAGTAGCACCAGTGCTTTCTCCAGCCCTGCTCCCTGAATGCTGCACAGCCGGGGTCTGCACAAGCCCTCCTCTGCCTGGGAATTCCCAGAACCCCTTCCTGGCACACGTTCCCCTCCCACCCAGTGTCCGCTAGCCTTTGACTCCTTGCCTCCTCGTTTCAGCAACCTCTTTGCAGTTCCTTCTCTAGCACCTCCTTTTTCTACAGGGACGTGGCCCTGTCTACTCTTCCTCACTATCCCCCCACCACCAACCAGCCCACCTCTGGCTATCCAGAAGCCTGTCTCCATATCCTTCACCCTCAGGGATCTGTCTTACACTGGAGATCATTATCTCCCCCTCCTCAATGTCAGCCTGTTTCCATCCCTCTCACACTGTTCCAGACTCATGCTGCCTCAGGTCCATCCTATTTGAGTGGGACTCCCCCGTCCTGTGTGAGGTAGGGTGTGGATCTGACATTTCTCTCCATCAGTCATAAGGCTCTGAGGCTCAGGGAAGGACTGCACCCAGCAGGAGGGGCACCATTGGGTCAGGTCAGGGTGCAGGCTGATTTAACCAGTTACCCAAGCACCTGCATTAGAATATTAAAACTGTGTACCTGTTGGGGATCACTAGGGCCCCTGAGCCTCCCTATAATCCAGGGCCTCTGAGCCTCCCCACAATCTAAAACCATGGAGACTAAAAAGGGCAGGGCCCTCCCAGTCCCTGGTATTCATTTCTCCTCAGGATGGGAGAGTTATTAGACACTTTGAGGACAGCCCCTGCTAGGAGCACAGGAAGATGCCCTAAGATGGTGTCATATTAACCTCTTTTAACATATTTAACTTAGGTGCTGCCCAAAATTTCCTGAAAGGCAGTATTCATGCCAAGGCAACAATACTGACATGCCATCAGTAAAAAGATACTCAACACACTATTCACTCTCCTGCCAAAACCTTAAAGCTAGGCCATTCAGGTCTAGGCCTGTGAGGTTATACGCCAAGATCAAATGGCAAGTCTTACCCATCATTAAAAAGGCTGTAATAAGAAGGCGGGCTTTCGGTTGGAAGCAAGCTGTTTGCCCCAGGACTTCGAGTTCCTGCAGAAGCTGAAGACTCAGGAAAGTAAGGTGGCGGAGGGGGTGGGAATATTATCACAGAGTCACCTGAGGAAACACAATATTTGTTTGAAGACAGAGAAAACAAGTTAGCAAGAGCAAAATCAATTAATTCTATACTTGGTCCATTTATATACAGCAAAAGATCAAAACACCTGCTGGTTACTCCAAAACTAAAATGTAGGCCTGTGGGATCCATATATAAAGTGAAACAGGTTAGCAGGGCCAGGGTGGGGCTGGGTAGGGAAAGGGACTGGAGTTACTGTTTAGTGGGTACAGAGTTTCTGTTTGAGATAATGGCAAAGTTCAAAGTTCTGGAAATTGACGGTGATGATGGTTGTACAATACTGTGAATGACTTAACATCAATGAATTGTGTATTTAAAAACTGTTAAAAGAGTAAATATTTTTACATTTTACCACACTTTGTTTCTTTGTCTTTATTTTCAAAGTGGGCCAGTATTTCAGAGCCCAGAGTGCTCACCACTGCAGGTTGGACATGGCGTCTGTTTCACAGCAAACTTGAGCTAAAAGATTTGTGTGAGGCATTTGTTAACAAGCTCCCTCCCCTCCCTGGGGGTGTCTACTGCTGGTAAAACCTTTCTCATTTTCAATGGATCGTTTTAATTAATCAAAAGTTGGGTAAAGGACCAAGTTCCTCAAATCAAACTTAGTTTCAGCCTTTGAACAAATGACAATAAGCTATTTTCTGCCCATTACTGAATCCATCAAAATTTCATCTAAGCGGTATGGATAAAGGTCAAACGCAAAGAAAAGTTTGTATTTTGTATTCCTATGGCTACTGTTCACTCTAGAATACATACATCCCATGTTTTGGGAAAGAGAAACTAGGGACCAAGAAAGTGCCAATTTGCATTTGAATTCCAATGCCTTCAAATTTCAATGCACATCACCACAGGAATTACCCAGAACCTTCTAGATGTGTGGCAATACCACCATGAGAGGTCAGATGAAGACCTCTAGTCAACTGGCATAACCAAAGCAAAATAAAGGGGAGAACTTTATTTCCTTGTAGGATGGAGACTTGTTTGCACCGGTAGGAAATCAGTGTGTACTGGTATTGATACAGGATTCTTTAAAAGCTATGTGGGTCCCATTTGCCAATGACCAGCCCAACATGGCCCTAAACAAGCTCTCCTCCTGCTGAGAAAACAGGAAGGAGAACTGGAGGAGACCATGTGTGTCCAGTGGTTACAGCAGGGCCAGGCAGAGAGCAAACTCAGGTCTGACACCCAGCAAAGGGCTTCCTTCCCTCTCGCAGGCCAAGGGCACTTATTTGCCTGATGAAGAAACACACCCAACTGGCAAGCTGTACCCTGATGCCTAGATCTCTTCCCCAGAGGTGATTTACCCTTTCAAAAATGCATTAACTCTATCTCTATTTCTGCAAGGAGATGGTAATTGGAATTGAAATATATACTGCTAATCTCAACTTGATAAAGTGTCAGGGTTCTCTTGGGATTCTCATTTAATTTTTTACAAGGTCTTGATGGGTCACTGGGATTGGGATTCAGGGCTCACTTTAATTACACAAAGCAGAATAAAAGACCTGTGAAGCTATGTAATGTTTTGAACAACTAATAATAAAAAAAAGACCTGTGAAGCAAGCCTCGGGGCAGGCCATCACCTGTCAAAAACAAACAAGGAAATGCTCAGAGTAGCCTATTATCTCCAAGGACGTCCATCCCAGTGTCAGCGCTGCCACGCACACCTTGCAACCTGTGCTCCTTGGAAAGAGGCCTCGCCCTTGGGGTTCGCCTTCCTCTAGGCTCTCAGAACTTGATGTCCTCTGTGAGGTCACAGCAAACACCTCTGGAGGGAAGCAGGGCCATTTCTTAACCCGCTCCTGAGTTTAGGATCTAGCACTGAGAGTGTCCATGGTAGACATAGCAGCTAAGATATAAACTCTCTCCCTAGCCTCCAAGGAGAAAAACCAGAGTGGAGATGCCAGTTTCACAGGCTTAATGGGGCATACAGAGTTAAGTAGAAAAGATCTTGATCGATGCAGTGACTTCAGGACAAGGACACATACTCGAGAGCATCACCTACTTCTCTGTTCCTTGCACAGACCCAATTCTAGCCACCAGGTGGGAGCCTGGACCTAGAAACTCCCCTGCTTGCAAACCCAAAGATCACCCCTCAAAATCTCCCAAGTAGGGAATTATAGCATCCAATGAATGAATTTACTTGTACCCCAGTGGGTTCCTCAAAAAAGCTGAGAACATCTATAACACCAGGGGACCCCTTTTCTCATATAATAACTCTAGTGCCAAAGCTGTAGCTTCAGAGTTTAACCTTTTAAAAGCAAGAGATTATCAAAAATAATAAAAATTTGCACATGAGCAACCATGTGGTTTTCCTCAGTTGTATGAAACTGAGCTCAAAAGTACTGATATTTGCTCGGGGGGGGGGGTGACACTGAAAATAGTAATCCATCTCTTCTTCAAAACCCAGGACACCCAAAAGGAACTTTTAGGCATTGTGGGAGAAAGAAGTACCGTCATATTTCATCTCAGTCTGTCGTTGACAGCCTTGAATCAACAGCCACTCTGATATGAGTAAACCTTGCCCCAAGCTCACAGTCAAGGATGATGTTACAGAAAGTAAATAACAATATGGAAACCAGTACAGAGAGTCCCCTTAAAACATCCTAACATACTTGGGACAGAACTGGACTCCTAGAATGTTAGTGCTGGAAGGAGTCTTAGAAATGTGGTGCTAATTTTATAGATATACAAATTAAGGCAGGAGAGGTTATAGGACCTACCAAGGACAGTCAGCCAGCCACAGCCAGGGAGGAGAACCCAAGGATCGGTTCACAGTTGATAGTACTATATGGTCTCAGCAGGAGAATAACAGGGGAAATGGGGGTAACTTGGTGGGTCCCTAAGGTAGACAGAGGTTTTTCTTACCTTCCTCTTAATCTTCTCTGTGCCCTCAGTCAAGTTCATTACTTAGTCTCCCAATGCTTTTGCTAAATAACAGTCATTGGGGAGAAATGATGTTAACAAGGATTCCTACAGGGCTCACCACAGCAGTGACATTGTGTATGTTTGCATGGGTTTTTTTTTTTTGTGTGTGTGTGTGTGTGCACGCATGTATGTACACAACGTGTGAGAAAGAAGAAGAAAATATGTAGACCAGACTTCAGGGTAGCCCCGTGAAGCCTTAAATCAACAGCCACTCTAGCATGAGCAAGTGCCCAAATGACAGCCACTCACCTACAGTGACCTGGACAGACTCCATATTGTGGGAGTGTCCCTCTTCGCTTTCAGAGGCATCCTGGCTCACACTCAAGTTGTTTCTCTTCTTGATGTGGGCAACCACAAAAAAACACAATCCCACAAGCACAATCAAAGGCCCCATGATCTGCAGAGAAAGGAACCCACAGATTGGAGGCTCCATGCTGGCAGTTTCTGTGTGGTTCAGTGATTCCGACACCCAGTCTGAGCTACATCCAGGGACCCAAATGCCCAGTATGCTGATGAGCATGCCACTTGTCAAGAACAGAAACCCAAAGATAAGGCACTGGGCAAACTGGCGGCTCTCTCCACAGATGAAGGCTTGGTTTGGGTCTGCCTGGTCGCCTCGTCTCCGCCCTTGCAGGAACTGAAGTCGTGCCCTGGAGCGGGCCAGGATCACAGCCCCAAGCCCAATCACAGCACATGAAGGCCCGGCGATCTTCAGTACCATGCTGCAGTCTGGGAGGGATTCATTTTGGCAGGCCTGGTACCCAAAGATGGAAAGCAAGACTCCCACACATAGCAGGACAGCGCCCAAGACAAAGAGGAAGAAAATGAGCTTGCTGACATGCCTGTCCTGCTGGTCCCCTTCTGGCTCAGCAGTTGCTGTTGAAGACATGGCCAGGAAAGGCCCCTTCCCTGAGGTGACGTGGGATGTGTTTCCTTCCCGTCGGTGCCTTCAGAGCTCTGCAAACATTAAAAAAATGCTTAATTAAAGTAGGTCCAGGTGTTACTAACCAACCCTGCTCTTCGCTGGCCATCCCAGAAATCACAGGAGGTAGAACTTCATTCAACTGTTACACAGTGCCACATCGAGTTGGTTGATGAATCAGAATGGCATTCAGAAACTCATGAATGTGTGATTTTATGAAGGTGGTCAAAAAAAGGAAATCCAATTACCATGCATCTGAGATAAGAGTATGTTTTTTTAAAAAAATAAAATAAGTGGGTGTGGCTTTTCCTGTTCTGAGTCTTACAAATTCACTTCCCTCAAAGCAAAAAACAATGGGGAGCGAGGGAAGAACCACTGGGATTATTTCTGATTTACAGAGGCCCCATATTTCATCATAGCTGCTCTGAGAATTTCCAAGTCAGTAAGTTTTTGTTTGGTAACTAACTTTCCATTTCCTGTTTCGAGCTTGGGCAGCTTTCCATTTCATGCTTTATTCTAAGACTGTATCTACAGAAGACCCAAGTCCAGCAGTTTTAAGAGAATGGAACGACTGCTCAGGAATACACTGGGGTTGAGAACTTTGAAGTTAATTCTGTCAAAATGTGATTCTTGGGCTCTCAAGAGACACCTACTAGGACTGCACTGTCCCTACACACACACACACACACACACACACACACAGTTGCAAAGGGCCTGGATGAGCCCAGAGAGTCTGGCACAGCAGGTCAAGTGCAGCCCCATCTCCAAGGTAACCTAAGGCAGGTGTTCTCACCCTCCTCCCCAGTGCCACCCACTTCCACAGAGGTTTGGACTCTGAAAAAATAAGTGGCTGATAAAATCACATTACAAAGCACTAAAGTCCAACAGAACTTGATTTTAAAAGACTATTATGGAACCAAGTGAGAAGCACCTTTCACAGAATCACCCAAGTCCTGCATTCACTTCACCAAGTAGTTGTTCAAGAGTTGTTTAGTTTATGCAGAACTGACTCTATCATCTAGTAATCTTGTCTTGCTCCAATGAATGGGAGTAAGGGCACTATGTGGGACACTGGCAAAGACAATACAAAGTCATGAAGTCACTTGCCCAAAAAAAAAAACCTGCAAAATAATTTTGTGTCACTCATATCCATGGCCACATGAAGTTCAAGACTGAGGCTCTAAACCCAAGACGGTCTTGACAACCAAAATTGTGTCAAAGGATAGTTCAGGTAATGAAAGCTAACAGGTGATCACATATCAGGAAGAACTTTTCCAGGAAAAAATGTGATAGAATCAGAAGGAAGTCAAAGACAAGAGGAAATATAGGAGAGAAATAAGCTTTCACCTCAAACTGGGAAATACTATTATTTTATGAAGTTGCTGTCAAGCCAAGAGAAAGATCTAAAGAAAGCATTACACTATTTTATAAACAACCTCTTGCTGGTTTCAGAGATAAGGGTGATTATCAGCTACAAAGTCCTATCAGGAACCCCTTGTCTACTTGGTATCTTCGGCTTTGCAGTGAGTCATAAGGTTTCAACAGTATTAAGGCAAATTCCCGAACACTAACAAAATAAAAAATAGAAGAAACTCAAAACCGATTCCCCGCCCCCTACCCCAGACTAGAAGAATAAATACCTGGCATAAATGTTACTCCCTGATCCAAAAGTGTGGGGTAGTCTCAGTGCCTCCACTTTTTCCTACAGATCAAACGGGCACACAGGGGCATCCATACTAATAAAAAAAAATTAGACCTTTTCCAAATACCAACCTGATTTCAAATTCCCATCCCACAAACCAAATCTGCCTCCCCACAACACTCCTATAGGTTTTCCAGAAGACATTTCCAAACCAGCAGCATCTCTCCACGTCCAAAGTTCTGGTGCGTAAAGAGAGCTAAAGAGAAGCAACTGTCTTTTGTGGGAAACACTTTTGTGAGCTTTAGGGGAGCTTGGAGCGCAACCAACAACCGGAGTGGCTGGTCGCACGGATCCCAGGGGCGCAGGTTTAGTGCAGTCCCGCGCGTCTCCGCGCTGCCGCCCTCCCAGCGCCCATCCCGCTGCCTCCTAAGCGCAGGCGCCGCGGGCCCGGGCAGCTTACCTGAGGCTGTGTGCTGCTGCGCTCGGCCGCGACGCGCTGCTGTGGGCACCAGGCTGGGCGCGGCGTCCGCCTCCCCACGCGGTCTCCGCGGCGTCGGCCACCCGCACACCCCGTTGCGCGTCCAGGCGCTGAGGGCGGGCCGCCACCGTTTGGAGAGAGGAGGCGGTGCCGGGCGGACGCAGCGGCCGAGGCAAAGCAGGACAGGCCGGCAGGAGCTGGCCGCCACCAGGTGCTGCCCTTCGGGGGCTAAGGAGAACCCCGCGAGGAAGCGGAGAGCCAGGTGCCGCTTGGGCTGGCAGACTTGGCCGCTTTCGCGCGTGTGACAGTGTACGCGGAGAAGTCGGGGCGGGGGGAATGGGAAGGCTCAACGACCTGTGGCCAGCACGCCAGGCTGCAGCACCCGCGAGCTGAGTCTCCCCCAGTCTGCCCGATCTTCACGCTGCGCTGCGTGGGACGAAAAGCGGGCTACTGGAAGGGGAGCCGGTCCTTTTCAAGCCCTGAGGCGCTGAATCCCTGGGAGGGCTGAGTGCAGCGGATCCCAGAGCGAAAGAGAAAGCCTCAGCCCCCTCTCGGGCGTGGTCGCGGCCGTGGCACAATGGGTCCCCCGGGTTCCCGCTGCCACAGCCGAGGCCACCGCACGGTCTAGGGCAATTACACCCAGTAGCCGTGTGGACCTCCTGCTGCTCCTGAGACCTTGACTGGGTAACCGCAGCAAGAACCCTATGAATAGGACATGGAGATACTAGGGCCCCATTCTAATGAGACCTTAGCCATTCAGGCCTGAAGTCCTATCTCTGAGAGTCAAGTAGCCTCTCGGCAGGCCCTCTGCTGGGTCACCTCTGTCCCTTGGGCACTCACATGTATGCACACAGCCCTTCTTTGCCATAGAGCCCCCTTCCTGGTCCTCTGCCTCTAATGAACTGCCGGAATTAATCTGGTAACTTTCCCTGCCCTTGAACCGGGAGTTTCAGGATGGGTTTGCTAATCCCTGTGCTATTTGTAACCTGTCCAGTGACATGTGACACGGATCCAACTGTGCTAGTTTCCACACCAGAGGTCAAAGAGCTGTGGAAGGTGAGTCAAATGTTCTCGGCCCAAACACCGAGGCGCCTGAGCCCAGGGACTTCCCCACCCTTGCTTTTTCTCTCTAGCTTCCTGTCCACTTTTTGAGATCCCATGCAGCTCTGAGGCTCATTGGATTAACCTTTTTATTGCCTACCTGATACAGCAAGTTATTACTGCGGGTGAAGTGTGAATTCGATCTAGCTAATTACCAGGAGTAAGGAGAGACTTGTGAAGAACAGGTCAGAGGTGGGTACAGAGGGAAAGGTGGTTACCTGGGCTTTGGGGTTCCAGGGGTCAGATAAGTGAGATGGAGGCTCACTGGGGAGGCAATACTGGACAAGTTCCAGCCACAGAAGTGGTGGGACACTTGCCTAGAGGGCCACATGTGGACTTTGTCACAGTCAGGGAGTCCTGACCACTGTGAATCCCTGCCATAACTAAATAACAACCACCACTGATATTAGCATAATGAATAATACTGACATTCAACACTCCTGACTCTGAGCAGGTTCTGCACTTTGTCTGTAGCCCAGAGTGCATTATTATGTCTCCAGTAACTCAGAAAGTTGGAGCCAGAAAGGGAACAGGGAAAGCTAGAAAACCAGTCATTTTCCAGTTGAGGGAAAGAGGCCCAAATAAGGAGGAGGAAAAAAAAAGTGCCCCTGAACAGCTGGTAGATGTGGAGCAAGGACCTGAGCCAGATGCACTGACTTCAGTGTCCCGCCCTGGGTTCACCTGGTATCCAGAGGACAAACAATGTTGTGAATTCAAAAAATAGTTTTTTATTACATTGTTTGGTGATGCCAGGTGGGGGATCATATGGATCATTATAACAATGAAAGCACTGTATCTCAAGGACATTGCAGTCATCCATATCTGGGTGGAGATATCCTGGTCAAAGTATCAAGATACACCACCTTCTGAAGATCAGCAAGATCTACCCAGCTAATGAGCAGAGAGCCCCAATGGCAATTGCACAATATCAGCAGGCACTGGGCTTTCTAAGAACTCAGGCCCACATTATAAGATTTGTCTCAGGCTGGCTCACAACTCTTCATCACACAAGAGGGCTTCCATTCCCTTTCCCTACTCATTCTTCCCTTCTCCCTTATTTGAAAGTCAATCTGTGGTCAAGTCCTGTGCAGACCTGTAAGAAGCCTGTTGATACAGCTGCCCCTCTGGTGCCACATGACTGCGGGCTCGCCACCCATGACAAACTTCAGCGTCCTGGCACCAAGGACAATCAGATTAGCCTCCTGTTGGGATATCTGCTACTTGAATTGCTTGTGTCTTGTGGAGCCCATTTTGGCTAAATTAAACTCCTTGAAAACTGATCATCAGTCAAAAATGAAAGACACACCCACCAGGCTTCAAAGTGCCTGTCTTCATAGTAGATATAGTCTTAGGAAAGAATCTGGGAGACTTTGTCACTCCCCCCAAACAGGAGATCTTCCCTAGCCTGTGTGGCAGTGAGAAAAGATAAGCCCAGACCATCCTTTGAAAAATGGCATCAGGTCAAGGTTTAAAAATTGGATGAGCCTCAAATTCCATTAGCGAAAACAAGGGGATGAAGTGGATACCTGCATTCATTTATTCATTCAGCAAATATTTATTGAATGCTTATCATGTACCAATAAGGAAGACAGACAAAACTCTTTGCCCTTAGGAACTTAAGAGTATTTCAATGAGGAAAAGACAATAAAATATGTAAATGGTACAGAGTGTTCCAAGGCTTTAGGAAGCACTAAATCAGAGAAGAGGGCTGGGGAGGGCTGTGGTATTCCAGCTGAAACAGAGTAGGTACAGAAGGCATCTCTGCAGAGCTGACACAACACTACAGCAAAAGATTGAAGGGAATGAGGAAGCAAGGTATTATCTATTACTGCGTAACAAATTACCCCCAAACTTAGAAGCTTAGAACAACAAAGACTTATTATCTCTCACAGTTTCTGAGGGTCAGGAATGTGGGAGTGGCTTATCAGGTGTGTGCAGGTGTGACTGGGGCTGGACGATCTGCTTCCAGGTGGCTATTGATTTAGGAGGCCTCATTTTCTCACCACACACCTCTCCACAGAGTTACCAGAAGGTTCCTTCTGAGGTGGTAAGTGGCTTTCTCTAGTGTGAGCCATCCAAGGCTCCTGCACCTTTTATGATGTGGCCTCTGAAACCCCACACTAACAAGTCTGCTTTAGTCTAGCCCTTAGGACTAAGCCATTAAGTCAGGGGGAGAAGGATTAGGCTCCACTTTTAGAGGAAAGAGTATCAAAAATTTGTGAATGTGTTTCGTGGTATTTGAGGGACGGAAAGAGTACTTGAGGCAGAGGTAACAGCAAGTGCAAAGGCCCTGAAATAGGAGCACGTGTATTCGCGTATTCAAAGAAGAGTAAGAAGGCCAGGCATAGTGTTGCACACCTGTAGCTTCAGTGACTTGGAATGTCGAGGTAGGAGGAGCAAAAGTTCAAGGCCAGACTTGGCTGCTTAGCAAAATCCTATCTCAAAATAAAAAATAAAAAGGGCTGGGAATGTAGCTTAGGTAGAGTGCTGCTGGGTTCAATCACCAGTAACTCACACCACACACACACACACACACACACACACACACACACATACTCACACACACAAAGAACAAGAACAAGAGGCCAGCCTGGCATGGTGGCACATGGCTATAATCCCAAGAACTCTCAAGGCTGAAGCAGGAGGATTGCAGTTCCAAGCCAGCCTCAGCAACTTAGTAAGGCCCTCAGCTATTTATGAGACCCTGTCTCAAGATAAAAATTGAAAGGGGCTGGGGATGTGGCTCAGTGGTTAAGCGCCTCTGAGTTCAATCCCTGGTACAAAAAAAAAAAAAAAAGAAGAAGAAGGAGAAGGACAAGAACAAAAAAACAAGAGGCCAGGTGGTTGGTATAGGTTTGCAAAGGAGTAAAAAGTAGGAAAGGAAAGGTGTATATGATGCCAAATGCACCAGATTGTGCAGGGCCTTGGAGGTTGTTATATATATTGTGAATACACGGCGGGGGCTTTGGGTGGTTTGTCAGCTGAGTATGTTGTGATATGACGATGACGATGATGACGACAACTTTGAAGATAGTGTCTCAATGCGCTGCCCAGGTTGATCTCAAACTCCTGGGCTCAAGTGATTCTCCTGCCTCAGCCTCCCCCGTAGCCAGAACTACTAATTTATTTTTTTTAAGAAATTGATGACTGGCCGGGTGAGAATAGCCCAAGGAAGAGGAAAAGTTAGTAGGAGCCTGGTTTGGAGGCTTTCTAATGCCCCAGGAGACAGGAGCCTGCAGCTTGTGTTTGAAGACAATTAAAGTGATTAGACTGTGGATGTACCTTGAAGATGGACTCAGTAGGATTTTCCATGGACTGGATGTGGTTTTGATTCTGAGGTTTGGGAAGGATGGTTCTGGCATTAAGCAGGATGGGTAAGGCTGGGAGGAGAACAAGGTGGAGGGGAAGCTGCAGGGTTTGCTGGAGAACACTAGCTTTGTCCCTTTGACACTGGAGTGGAGAAGCTGAGCAGGCAAGTGGAATATACAACATGGAGTTCGGGAATTCTGGAAGGAATCCTGTGTTCTGTCAGCAATGTTGATGACAAAATCAGGAAGTCAGCCCCTTCTCTGGCACAGTTTGCTTGTGTATACTTGGTCTAACAGTCAGTCCTGCATATGGAAAGCAAGGGCAGACTGATGCCCACACATGTGCAGCTGCCATGTGTCCCCTGGGACAGATGGCAGCCAGTGCTGAGTGTGTACTGGGCAAGGGCTTCTGGGGCTCTGTTGTCAGAGTGGCCTTCAGGAACACCAAGGAATGTGTGTCCTTCAGTCCAAGACAGCCCACATTTCTCCCCAAGGCTGTGCCAAAACTGGGAAGACATTCAGGGCAGGTGGTGTGGATGGGTTTCCAGAGTTCACTGTTACTGTTTCAGAGTTCTCAAGATTGCAGAAAGACAATCGGACAAGAAAGCAAGGCTGCCAAGCTCTGGTTCTCTTTTCTCTTTGAGTCTCTGCCCCAATTCACCTTAGCACCAAGAAGCAGGCATTCCCTCTTTTCAATTCTTGATGTCCCCTGAGATCCTGCTGGGATCTGGCTTATAGAAATTTGCTCTCTAGGGCTCAGGTTTGAGTCCATATTTCAACAGATATTCCCAGGAATCTCAGCAACTCCTCTGAACTTATTGGGTCCCAAAGTTTTATTGTATTTCTTGCCTCCTTCAGACAGCTGATTGGTCCCATTAGCTGCTACCAGAGTCCCTGGGATAATTTTCTTGCTCTGTGACCCTAATGTCAGACCTAAACCAAAGGGGTCTGAGAGACTTATCTGGAATAGGGGTGGAAACTGACTGGCTTGGCAAGCTAGAGTTGAAGGTGTAGACTGAACCCCTCAACAGCCCCTCAGTGCAAAGACAAACCTGTGCAGAGTCATTTTATGGCCTGGGATAGTGTTATTGATTTTGCATGGTTGACAATGGCTCAGCCTGAGTGCTTCTAACCTGAGCCAGGAGTGTGGAATTCAAGCAGATGTTTCAGGAAGACAGAATTTGCCTGGAGCACCCACAACCTTATGCGGGAGGCTTCTCCACATCTGAAAGAGAGGAATCCCTTCTACAGTGGCCATAGCATCTGACCAATAGGTTAGAGACCAGTGTGGTAATAGTAAGAATTTTAAGGAAAAGTGATGGTTTCCTGGTATCTCATATTGCCCCATCAAATATCCACCACTTACTGGGTCCCAAAGAATAGATTATTTTCCCCCAGAATGCAAAAAGGGATTGAGTCAAACTGAATTTAGATCTTGGCTTTGATGCTTACAAACAGTAAGCATCAATGGGTAAGTCAACAATTTCTCTATGCTTCAGTGTTCACATCTATAAAATTGGGACAAGCAGATCT